TTTGAGTATGCTATAATTATTGCTTGCTTGTAAAAATGAAAGAGTTTTGTCAATATAATCTATATTATTAATAGCAATTACTGTATTTCCCTTATCGGCACGAGTGAAAATGATATCATCCTGTTTTGTTTTATCCTTTATAGTTTTAATTAACTTACTGTCTTGATTTGAATTGTTATTACGTAAAAATTGTATTTTAATTATATTTGCAGTATGATATTTGTGAGACAAAGTATTATATGAATCTTTTAAAGAAATTTCTGTTTCTATTCCCAAAATTTGCTTTAAAAGATTCATATAATACTTTGTCTCACAAATATCATACTGCAAATATAATTAAAACACAATTTTTACGTAATAACAATTCAAATCAAGACAGTAAGTTAATTAAAACTATAAAGGATAAAACAAAACAGCATAAAAGAGCTCTTAATAATATTAAGAGGTCGCGAATGGCAGATTTCTATTTCCCATTTAAATAACACGAAATTTTTTTTTAATTTTGGAATTTTGTAACTCTGAAGCGGTTGAATGGATTATCAAACCAAAAATTATTCTTATAGGAAATTTGACGCTCTACAAAAAAGTCTTTGGAAATTTTTTGATTATCCTAGCCATGTAAAAGTGATTCGAGGTCAAAGTTAAAATTACAATAAAATTCCATTTTTTTTTTCATCTATTTATTAATATTAATAATTTTTTTCAAAATTTTGCTTCTTGTGGTCACTTTTTCCATAGTTACATTTATAAATAGTTAAGGACATCAGTTATGAATTATCAGTTTTAGATTTACAATCAATAGTATTCTTAAACCCAGACTATGTTAAGTTTTTTTTATTACAGTCCGGGAAACGACGACGATGTTCTTTAACCACTTGCAAAAGATACTGTAATTGTTCTTAGTTCTTGGTTAAACAGTTGTTGTAATCTTCAATTAAAGCGATACCACGTTCTGCTACATCATTAACTACAGAAAGTTGTTTAAAAAAAATTTAAATTCTCTTTATAACTTTCATTGTTAGGCCACAGTGATACATCTACTTCTAGAAAATCACATGGTAAATCAAACGTTTCGAAAAGTTTGAGTGAATTTTTCGAAACAAATGCACTCAAATCTTTGTTTGAAAATGACATTAAATCAAGTTCTCTAGCGACGTATCGTTTCTCTCTGATAATGTTACTCTGCTCATTTTGACTGATCGCTCTACACATTTTTCTTTTCATTTCATCTGAGACATTGTTATCAAATAATGCGAGTGCTGCTAGTTCTTCATCCAAGTACCATAGATGAGCACTTAATTGTTTTAAATCTTTCTGTAGCACTGGCAATTGAATTTCTGGGCAAGAAAGTAACTTCTTTAACAGTTGCAGATCATTATTCGGCGCTTGGATTGCCACAGAACAAGTAAACCATACTTTGACGTAAATTAAAATAATAAAAGTACATATTTGACGCAAGCTATCAATTTCTCGTTTAGAAAGTGAAAATTTATTTCTGAACATGAAGATTTTTAAGCTGTAAATCGCTTTAGCCATCCATCGTGCATGATGCATTGCTCCTGGGCATTTAAAACTTGCTGTACCTTCTGGGAGACCATCAAGAAAAATCAATGATAAGTCGAGAAGTTCCTTGTAATCATTTTTTGGCTGAGCAACCTGTTTAATAAAAAATTCGTTAATTAAAATCTTCAAACGCAAATTTTCAACTGTTTCGAGCACAAAATAATAATATACCTTTAATAAATTATTAATTAGGTTAATCAATTCAAGTCTGTTCGTTAAAAAGGTATTTGCAATTAATTCATCTTGCATGCCACTTTGGTACTTCGATTGATCGATTTCGCTCTAAAAATTTTTGAAACTTCCAAAAATTGGAACGTTAGGACCAGAAGTTGTCGGCCAGAAAACTTCAAAAACTCCTTTTAAAATAATTTCAAAAATGTGGTGGCGACAAGGTAACCAAATTAGTTTCCGGTTCAATTTTTTTTCAATCAACGCAGCTGTACCATTTAGTATTCCTATAAATTAAGTGTAAATGTCTGGATTATAGATAAGTCCAATAAATTAGAGCAAAAAAAATAATGTCAACTATTAATTAATTTTCAATCATTTGAATAAGATAACAAAACAAACCATACCAGTATTAACTGCTGGAGTGTCAAAGCACATTGCCTTGATGTTAGAAGTAACTTTCCACTCTTCCAATGTATTTAATATTGCTACAGAATGATTTTCTGCAGTTCCATCAGATATTTTTGGTACACCGAGGAGTTGATTATATGATTGCAATTCTATCTACAGTTTCAGAACCGGCCAAATCAGCTAGAAGCTTGCCATCCCAATGAACAGTGTAACGATCTTCAGCTTTGAACTCATTTTTCAAGTGTTCAGCGATAGTTTTTCTAAACTCTATACTACCTCGTCGAATAGTACTATAGCTTAAGTTTAATGTTTCTATATTTATTCCAATGCTTTGGTAAGCAGCAGCTAGAACAAAAGTAGCATTTTGGTTACTAACGTTTGCTCTATCAAGGGCAGATGCAAGTTCAGGAGTCATATCAATTTTTGGAGGCGGATTGAGCTGACTGAAAGGAGATTCATAGTCAGAAACGATTGCTGATTTCTGACTACCAAATGTTGTTTCTGTATCAGTTGACGATTGGTCACGTACCAGAGCACCACTATCCTGAACTTGATTATCAAATGTAGGCTGATCAATATCTGTGGAAATAATATGTATTAACAAATATTTTTGGTAAAAAAAGAGACATTAGATTAAGCAGAATTCTATTTGAAGTACTAAATGCAATAAATAATTTTTTTCTAGGAAATAAAATGATTAATAACTATTAACATCCATAGTATCTTGATCAAATTTTTTTATGAATTAAGTAACTTCAGTTGATTCGTGAAATAAAAAGTGTCTGGGTAAAAGTTTTTATGACAAAACAATTTATATAAAAGACTTAAAATACTCACCAAATAATCGAAACACATCATAAAATGTGATTCAGAACAAAATATTTTAAAAAAATTGATAATTTCATCGAAATCTGAAAAAAAAGATAGAATTTTTTTGTAACTTTAATTTTGACCTCGAATAACTTCTACATGGTTAAAATAATCAAAAATTTTCCCTAAAGACTTTTTTGTAGAGCGTCAAATTTCCTATAAGAATAATTTTTGGTTTGACAATCCATTCCACCGCTTCAGAGAAAAAAATTCCGTATTATTTAAATGGGAAATAGAAATCTGCGATTCGCGACATATTAATATTAAGGGCTCTCGTTTTCACAGGTATCTTTTAAAACCTTCTCGAAAGTTTTTACATGAGGATTTCGAAAAAAAATTAATTTTTTTTTTTTAATCAGCCTAGTGCCAATTTAGTGATATTTGGAGAAAAATATGGCCATTCAAAAGGCATTTGGTGGCGGAGGTGTCACAGTGTGCGGAGGTATCATAGGAAATGGTAAAACCGAGCTTTTCATTACCAACCAAACCGTTATCTCTACTGTTTATCAGGAGGAAATTTTAAAACCTATTGTTGTTCCAGTCGACCTCACACAGAGCTCGTAGAATCCCAGAGTTTTTGCAGGCACAGAACATCAATAGGATGGACTGGTCTGCAAAGTCTCCGGATCTTAATGTCATCAAACACGTTTGGTCTTATTTAAAACTTAAAGAAAGATCGCGTGATTTACCGTGATTTAAAGAATGGGAGAATATTTCACGAGATTTTATAAATAATCTTGTGGATACTCTACCAAATCGATGTCGGAAAGTAATACGTCAAGCAAAAGAACTAATAAAATATTAATTTCTCTTTTTTTTAATTAATGTACCTAATTCATTTCGGGTAAATTATTACCAAAGATTAGGTATTTAAAGCTAGGACACTTGGCATTTTTCAATTGATATTTGCCGGTTGCTTTCAATGACCTATGTCGCCTATGTCATGTGTCAGTCTGTCTATGTGTCATTTGTCCACTGTCTAATAGGTACGATGTACCGTTAAAATTTAAAATTTTTTAACTGATTTTGGGGTCTATTCTGTAAAAATTCCTTTATATTTAACGGCCTTTAAAAATATTGTCGGCCTTTAAACATATGTTCGTATTTGTTAATTTACTTCTGTCATTATTTAAACAGATTTCTTTAAGATAGTTCTCTAATGTATTTTAAAGATCCGTTTAAATAGTGACCGAATTAAAGAAGAAAATATTTTTAAAGGCCGTTAAATATAAAGGAATTTTTACAGAATAGACCCCAATGTATTTGTAAAATACGAAATATAAGAATGTCTTTTGCTAATTTTCAACACGCCCTTTTTCAAAAAATGTATTCAATGTTTTAACCCATGTATTTTTATTTAATTTTAACTCTGGATAGATATCTATTGAAGGTAATTCTTTCACCTTTACTTCTCGTATTAAATTTTAAACTTTGTTGGACGGCCTGAAAATGACAATGTTTTGTCGAAAGCGCCTAGCCAAATTGTATTAAACATTTATATATACACACTTGAGTACTCAATTCCTCAATTCAACCCAATCATTTAACCACTGAGTGTGTACTTCTTTCCCAGTCTAAACATTATTTAGAAAAATGCCCAATATGTAAATACGAATAAAAGTAAAAAGTTGAAACTAGGACTGTTAAAAGAGAATACGATTCTATACAGTATTTTTAAAATAAAATTAAGTGCCAGACATAAAAAAACCAGTAAACATTTGGAATAAACTACAGAACTACTTTTTTTTAAAATTATTTTGTAAATATTTTCTATAATTCTATTAGAAATATGTTATTTATTTATTTGTCTGTACAAAAACCGCATTTTTTTTATCAGACACGGAACCGTCGCCAACAAACAACATAAACATAGGTATGTCGATTTTTTAATGCCCCATTTTCATTTTTTTATCTAATTAAACGTCCATATCCACCTTGGTGATCTTAATAGTGAAAGCTCAGATGAATCAAATGTTTCAAAATAATCCACTCGATATTATATCCTAAATAAGGGGGGACAGAGACACCGCCTAGGTTCCATATAAATGTTACTGTTTAGATGCCCCATCGAGTTCTTCTACGGTGTTTCAAGAACAAAATGAGGGCATTTCAAGTAAGAACTACATTTTTTGAAAAAAAAAAAAGTTATTGAGTTCTGTGAGTGTGAAAAAGTGGTGATAAAGGAATATTTTTTATTTATTAATAATTGGTCTAGTTTTCTTTTGTAAATATATAAAAATATTGGCAGTAATTGGGGTACAATTGTATATAAAGTATACAGGGTGGTCAGGTTTTAATATTTTTATTTCTATAGGGATTTCCTTAACTTGTAGAAATAAAGGGTTGGTTATATTGGAAAAAAATTGCATTTCTTAGGAATGGTATAGAAAATATAGTAAATTTGAAATATTAGAACTGGTTTAAAAGCTTATGGAGCAATGGGCTTCTGTGAAGTTTCCTAAAGAAATAAAAAAATGATTATAATAATTTTTTTTATCGATAATTTCATATATTTCCGGAAAATCGTATGTAAAACACATTATATTTTTATTTTTAATTTACCTCTAGTACGGGAATAGTCTTCAAATTAATATTACGCTAAAATCGCCTCGATTCAAATAAGCAAATTTTTAATTTTCCATATTTCATATAGGGTGAGTCAAAAAATGAGAGCCCCAATTTGTTGTTTTTAATCAAAATCTGATGTCATCGTGTGAGGGTATCAAATAAAGACTCTTTGAGTATGATTTTAAAAATGAAAGATACGTATACATATACAGTGTGACATCTATTTATGGAAATAAATTATTATTGGCCTTAAAATTAAAATTAAGATGTAATCTGATATCGACAAATTTCATCGCATTGGTAAATATAGTGAGCATAACTTAAATACTAGACTTATTTTAGTTCAAAAAATATTGTTTTTTCTACAAAAAGCTTCTCAGGAATAGTGGTTTTACAATTAAAGAAGATTTGACAAAGTTAAATGTAATTCTGATAAAATCTACAGTTTCTAAATATACAGTATGTCTATTTAAGTTGGAGCCATACGGAAAACTTTTTTATTATTGGTTTTGTGAAAAAATGTATTCCTGATAAAAAGTTCTGCATGGTCCAAAACTTAAAATGCAATCACCAGATATCAATTTATTTAAGCTTTATACGATGTTTGTCTAAAAATATGAATTTTACTCAAGAGTAAAGTACCTTAATGTTTTACAATACAGAAGAATGTTGTGAAGTATAGTTATTTTGAATTAAAAGTTATATTCAAATATGTAATTACAGCCATTTAGCATTAAAATGCATATTTTAATATTACTTTTAAGTCAAAATAACTTTACTTTATAATGTTCTTCTGTATTGTAAAAAATAAAGGTACTTACTCTTGAGTAAAATTCATATTTTTAGACAAACCTCGTATACAGCTTAAATAAATTGATATCTGATGATTGCATTTTAAGTTTTGGACCATGCAGAACTTTTTATCACGAATACATTTTTTCACAAAACCAATAATAAAAAAGTTTTCCGTATGGCTCCAACTTAAGTAGCTGTATATCTTTTAAATCATACGGTGTATGGTTAGTTAACTATATTGATTTTAAAATAGTTTGAAGTCTGTTAATAACACGCCATAAAAATTTGATCAAAACAGCAAACAGGGTCTAACAACTTTTTGACTCGCTCTGTATAAAGTTTGCTAATTTTAGTTTGTTATTAATTTATAAATATTCCTATTGTAGTAGAACTAACAATTCAATTTTCTGAAATTTTTGGTTTACCCTGTATACGTCTATTTTTTGTCCTATATAATCATAATATCCAGTTATTATAAGCGTTAAATGATTTTTTTCTACACCCACATTGGTATTAGCTTATCTACGCACAGACTACAAAACGAATATATTTCATATCCATTCTAGGTAGTAATAACACTGCAAAAAAATTAAATCCACTAATCACAATTCAAATTTTGCACACCCAACTACTATTTTTAAAATTTTAAATAAGTGACAATCCTGTCAAACTAATTGTCAATATATTTTTTAATTAGTAAGATAAAATATACATTAAAATGACCTATTTTTGTGTAGAATCGATATATAATTGTAAATAATAGCATTTCTATTTTTATTTGATCCAAATTTAAAAAAAAAATAAATTTTAATGAAACTATATGAAACAATATAAAACATTTTAATTACGACCATTCACTGTTGGGTTCTAATTAACAGTGCTGTTCCTAAAGTGGCGCTGGGAAACAGTGACAAATCCTACACAGAACACAAGGCTAATGGCCTTAGTAGTCGATGCCGATGACATCAAGTTAAAAAAAAATTATTAAAACGAAAATCAAAAGTGTACTTAGAGGCATAAACATAGTGCTTGAGTTACACGCGAAAAGCCGGGGATCGATTCTCGGCTGGTAACTAATTTGTTTCTTTCTTTTTTATGTATATTTAATTTTAAAAATCAGTAAAATTCATAAATTATTTTAAAATTAGTTATTCTGTCTGAAATATTTTTTAATTTGTAGATTTCCGCTAGTGGGTCACAGAAAAAATATACTGTACAACTATTTTACACTTTAATTAAAAAAATTGCTCACTCTACCCAGTTGTTTTTAAAAAAAAAATGTATTATATTTTTTAAATCACATCATATATAGTAACTTTTAATATTTTTGAATTACACCACAATTTCAACGTATTTACGTCTTCAGTTATCTTTGAAAGGTATAAAAATTCACAAATTTAACGCCCTGTATCTTAAAAACTAGTTATAGGTGTTCATTTTAAATAAAATTAAACAAAAAACTGGGGTAATGCAGTTTAAAATGGGACACACCGTAGATATAGCGTGTTATTTGGAGGTAATACAAATTTGTCAATATTTACAAAGCCAGACCTGTACAAAAAAAATGTATTTAAAGAATATTCGACTGTATGATCAACACACAAAAATACAAAAACAAAAAGTTTTAATTTTTCTAGCTTATATTGTTTTTTTAATTTACTTTTATATTTAATTTTAGATAATTTTAACGATAGCTCTGTTATCAGTTGTCTCCTGTGGAGATGTATCAAAAAAAGACAAAAGGGGTCTCTTAGGACTTGGATATGGCTCTGGAATTGGCCATTTAGGATCAGGCGGTCTAGCCCTTTCATCGGGATATGGTTTGGGAAAGGGGGCGTTAGGTATGTATATATAAACATTTTTATATTCATTATGATCGTAGATTTGAAGTTAATTTTGAAAACTCTCCAAATATTAATAAAATAATGGATTATCAAATAATATTAAAACTCATTTTTCATTATATTAAAATAGTGTCTTCTATTATAGCAGCATCCTTATTACTTTTACTGCTATGTTTAAAATGTACGACCAAAGTTTTTACCATTGAAAATGACTCACTTAAAGTAGACTCAGTTCAGATTTAATTAAACCACTTTAGGTGTAATATGGATTTAAAATAGTAACATACTAATGAGTAAATTGTATATATTTGATATTTTTGAAGGTAACTTTGGACTCTGAATAGCAAGTAATGTAGATAGGGATTCAGACAGATATTTTGAAGTATTTTAAAGATTTATAAACAGCAGTCGCTTTTGCAATAAAGACTGAAATATTAGATGCCAATTTAAAAACTTTTTATAGAGGTAGAAATAACATTCTGTACCAGATGAAGCGTTGAAAACATCTGTGTGAATATTTCGAAAATCAATCACTTTAAGAGTACATAATTAAAAAATTTAAAAAAATTTAAAATTATAGTCCAAATGAAGGTGTTACTTATCTATTCTGTACGCCACTGACAGAGTTTATTTGTTTGATTTTTTGCTGATTTGTATATCTTATGATATGATACCAAAAATGTTTACCAAAGCTATAGTCTATTTTTATGTATGAGAGAGTAATAAAACAGCATTTCTAATACAAAACTTAATACGGTCATTTTTATAGAATAATCTAAATATTTCCTAAAATTGTAATAAATGTACCTGAGCTATTACAAGTTTTGGGTTTTTTATTGGTCCTTTATGTACAGAACAATAGAAGAAGGTTTGGACAGGCCAAAAGCCCTGTGTATTAAAGATTACATAGCCGTATCTTAAGATTATTTTTAATAAGTACCTATTTGCCAATTTTGTTTTATTTTTATTCCAAGAATTTCTTACAGTAATCGAATTATAAGTAGATAAATACCTTCCCAACAAATTTCACCGAAAATGCGATTATAGGTTTTCCATTTAGTAAGGAGGTCCAAGTTGTGTATTCTTGACAGTTTACTAAATGTCGTTTAGTTGCAACTTGCAAGGTGCAGTGTGCATTCTAGTGTGATCATGGAAAATTTGTAAGGGCCGCGTAAACAACAAAAAATCGGTCCTTTAACAGTTAATGAAAAAACATTAATATTTAATTGTTTTAAATCATTTACAGACAAATATTCATGTAAAAGTGTTGATGATACAGTGGAATTAGTTAGTAGTACGCTTGGTGTTGGGAAATCTACGATTTACAGAGTTGTTAAAGAAGAGAAATGTGGCGAGTTTCAAACAGCACGTAAAGCTCCAGGAAAACCAAAATTTCAATTAGAAAACCTTTTGAAAGAAAGACTTTGAAGGAAAGTGCATGCGTTCTTCTTAAGAAAAGAATTTACGACAGTAGACAAAGTTCTTGCCACGGTTCGAGATGATAAGGATTACCCTGAAATGAGTCGAAGCACACTATGGAAACTTTTAAAAGAAATAGGTTTTCTATGGAAAAAGCATTCCAGAAAATATATTTTATTTAGATGAAACATGGATCAACGAGGGACATAAACCAAATAAATTATATGGCAAGATGAAACTGTTACAAGTCGAAGACAGGCTTTTTTAAATAATTTATCTACTGGTTTAAATCCACCATCAGGAAAGTGGCGCAGACTAATAATAGTACACATCGGTAATTCAAACGGTTTTGTTAAATGTTGTTTATTGACTTTTGAATCTACTCGTACCGGTGACTACCATGAGGACATGAATGCTGATGTCTTTAAAGAGTGGTTCGAACATATTATAGATCTTCTTCCTCATAACTGTATAATAGTAATGGATAATGCAAGTTATCACTCGAGACTTATAGAAAAAATGCCCACAACCAAGTGGTTAAAAAAAGATTTACAGAACTGGCTAAATTCAAAGAATATTAAGTTCCATCCCGGTTCTGTGAGAAAAGAACTGTATCATTTGTGTTCCCCTCATAAAGAGAAATTCAAAAAATATGAAATTGATGAAATTGCAAAAAATCGTGGGATGACGGTGGTTAGATCACCACCATATCATTGCGAAGTAAACCCGATTGAACTGATATGGGCACAGATAAAGGGAGAAGTTTCAAGAAAAAATAATTCTTTTAAAACGAGTGATGTTAAACAGTTGTTTTTGGAGGCTGTAAATAATGTGAAGAAGAGAAAATGTGGAAGTTGGACAATATTACTGATGAAATGATCGAGCCACTCATTGTAAATATTGGTTGCGACAGTTCATCTTCTGATTTCGATTCTGATTTGGATTTGTAAGTAAGAAATAGTTTTTATATTAAAATTATTATTTATGAACGTAACGTTGTTTAAAAGTCAAACCTTGTGGAAAAATAAAACATTTTAGAATAAATTGCACTTTTTTACCTTCAGCTGTTTAGAAGATATTAGCAGGTTAATTAGGTGAAAATATAAGTGTATACTCGAGGAATAACTTTAAAAAATATTTTAACTTTCTACTAAAAGAAGTGATACGCCTATGGATTAATAACGCTTTATTATTTTAATACTTTCTCATACATAAAAATAGACTATAGTAATGAAAACATTAGGAAACGAATATTTTATCCACTCGTGACTCGTGACCAAAATATTGGTAATTCACGATAATAGAATATAGGTAAAAAAATTTCAGTATTTTGGAAAGGTATTTTAAACCTAGAAAGGTATTTAAATACCATAATAGGTATAGATAAATATGTTCAACTGCAACAATATAATGTAATTTCAAATACTCAATTATCTTGTGCATTTTGTTATCGAAATTTACTGCATCACCCATTTCTTCGCTATAATGATGTCTTTGTGTTAGTCTAGGCGCTCATTGCAAAATGGTTGATCAATTTTCATAAAAACGTGCAATAGTAATAATATATCTCCAGCCAAAGCAATAACGTTTGCGTTTTGCGTTATAAAAAATTGTTAACAATTTAAAAAATGTGCCACCCATGGTTTTTTTTTTTTTTTTTTTTTTTTGAAAAATGTTCTATCCGATTGATGATTAATAGTTAAATATAATTTTTTATACCAGGCTGCCAAGCATTATCCTTTAGGTTAAGGGTGGCTGATAGACATAGAAGCAAATAAATAGAAAGACTTGTTTTGTTGTTTTTTCAATTAAATTAAAAAAGTAAATTTTTTTTTGAAAAAAGTAAATACTATTTTTCGTATAAAACTTTTTAAAAGACACTGTATATCGTTAACAATAATATCTACATACTCACTGTTGTTACCGACGTGCTTTTTATACATAAAAAAGTTGTTTTTCAAACAAAAATTACTCTTTTTGGAACACACTGTATAATTAAATGTTAACAACAAAGTGTATTCAGACAATATTGTTATAAAATGTGTTCCAAAATGTTTTTACACATAAGAAAAAGTTTTGTTTCTCAAAAAAGTAATACTTTTTGGAACGCGATATATAATAGAATGCAACGTGCTCTTCGAGCACGTTGTTAATACCATAGTGTATTCAGATACTGTTGCTAACGACGTGCTCAATATATTATACAGTTTGTTCCAAAATGTTTTTACACATGAGAAAAAGTTTTGTTTCTCAAAAAAGTAATACTTTTTTTGGAACACGCTGTATAATAGAATGCGACGTACTCTTCGAGCACGTCGTTAACAGCAAAGTGTATTCAGATACGGTTACTAACGACGTGCTCGAAGAGCACGTCGCAATCTTCTATACAGTGTGTTCCAAAATGTTTTACAAAAAAGTAATACTTTTTTTCGAACTCTTCGAGCACGTTGTTAATAACAAAGTGTATTCAGATACTGTTGCTGACGACGTGCTCAAAGAACACGTCGCAATCTATTATACAGTGTGTTCCAAAATGTTTTACACATGAGAAAAAGTTTTGTTTGTTAAAAAATTTTATTTTTTGGAACACAGTGTATAATAGAATGGAACGTGCTCTTCGAACACGTTGTTAATAACAAAGTGTATTCAGATACTGTTGCTAACAATGTGCTCAAAGAGCCCGTCGCAATCTACTATACAGTGTGTCCCAAAAAAAAAGTTCACCATAGAAAAAGTTTTGTTTTTCAAAAAAAAACCTATTTTTGGAACAGACTGTGTAATTAATTGCAACCTACTCTTTTTAACAATAGCTTTCGTTGCAAATATCAAAAATATAAGATCGTACATAAACATTCAATTTACTTCTTCTTTTTTTGGGAAAAGCTACCTTTCTCGCTTTAGCAGAACTGGCTGCTTTTGCAGTTTTTGGTTTAGGTACTTGACATTTTTATCATTGGCCTACCTTTATTTCACTTTTCCACCTCTGTTGGAGCTTTAACTTTGACAGGTGAAGCAATTAATGTGGCAATTTTCGAAACACCGTTCTTTTATCATCTTTTTTTGCTTTTAAAGCTTTCTTTTCTGCTGTCGGAGCTTTCTTTGATTTCTTTGATTAGCTTGAAGTGAAGACCCTTCAGGTTCCTTTATTAGAAACTTCGCGTCCTTTTCAACAGTATGTATTGCTTAAAAACAACATTATAATCATTTTCCACTCCATCAATAACCTTTAACGCAACAGATGATATTTTGCAGCCTGGTATAGAAAAAGAAATTTAATTATTATCATAGAACATTTTCCAAAAACACTGATGGGTGGAGGGTAACACACCTTTTAAATTGTTAACACTTTCTTACAACTTAAAACACAAACGTTATAGGTTGTTACCCAACTTTTCTATAAAAATTTAGTCGTACTAGTGATTGATCCAATATTTTACAGTAAGCTCCTTTACTATATAATATAACGTAATTTTATGTTCGACTGAGGTCAGGCTTCACGTATTATAAAAGCTCGATATTTTATTGCTGCAAGATCGGATTCTGGGTGTATCAGGAAGTTCGTCGGGTTTCAACGTTATTAAATTTAGAGAACTGTTCCATTATACTTCTTTATATGGAAACGTAGAAGAATTATGCAATAATTTTTTAAATTTTTCTGATTTGGGACTCGAAAAAATTGATTTTTCTGACTTGTAACTCAGAAAAAATATATGTTTTGGTACACATCATTAGAAGACACTTAAAACAAACTGTTAGAAAGTGTTTGATAGTAAAAATTATTCAAGTAACAAAAAATGAAGTTATATTTAATTTTATTTGAAGCAAAACAAAAAACATTATTCTGATAGTTAATTAGATGAAAGTAAATAGTACAGAATTAAACCAAACAGAACGAGAAATCAAACTAAACTATTTCAAAAATATATCATCCAAATAAAGCATTAATTTTTTCTATTGTAATTTTTTTTTATTTTAATAGTAAGCTAATTATATACTTTGCTTAAAGTGAAATTAGTTATATTAATAAAGTAGTATATAAATCGAATAAAAATAGTAAATGGGTCCTACTACCGAACCTTGCGGTACTCCAGAAACTATTTTGTTAGTACTGGACTGTTTATTGTCAATAAAAATAGTAAGGGTCCTATTATCGAACCTTCTGATACTATAGATACTATTTCTTTAGCACGAAATTGTTAATTGTTAATAAAAATAGTAAAGGTCCTAATACCGAACCTTGTAATACTTCCGAGACTATTTCATTAGCACTAAACTGTTTATTTTTAAGTTTTACTATCAAATGACGATCATAGGCATAATGGTAATATTTTGAATGATTTATAGTGTTGAATGCGTTTTAACAGTAAGTAGTAAAAGCTTTATGGGAACATGACTGATATAGAGGAGATAATGCTGCATACTATTTTTTCTTTTTTTACTAGTTCTATTTTCAATTGTTTATCTCTATTCGTTTTAACATTTTTCAATTCTTTTTCCCTAGAGTTGGATTTTTCCTTAATAGATGATATTTTCCCAATTTTTTTTCCCAAGAGGTAATTTTCTTTATAGTTTCAATTTGATGTTTAGAATATATTTTTGATTGTATAACATTCAATTTTCTTTGCGATAGTTCTAGCTTTAATTTTTATCACTATTCGTTTTTACATAATGTGCATTTTTCCGAAGATTTTCCTCGAGAGTTGAGTTCCTCTCGAGATTTTTTCCTCGAGAGATAGTTTTCTCTCGAGCCTTTTTTTCTCGAGAGGTGGTTTTCTCTATAGTTTTCAGACATATAATTAATAATTTGGTTATATGCTATTCTTTCTACAATTTTTAATAATCTAATAGGTTTTACCTCAATAAAGCAGTTAAACTATAACATTTAGACAGTAGTATAATAATTATGTAACCAAACTCCAAAAATAACTATTAAAATAAGTAGTACATAAATTTTAATAAGATAAAAGCATAATATCAACATTTGTGGATTAATACCATCTATATCACAAGAATTTGATTTATTTCTATGTAATGTACCAGTGATGACATCTAAACCAACAAAATGCTTCCTGCACATTGCATATTATCACTTTTATGATAACAATATAAGTAATTTTAAACCTTAACATAACTATTAACTTTTAAAATAACAATTTTTTTCCAATTTCACTTTTGCAGGCTTAAGCAGTGATCTAGGCTTAGCAGATATCAGTCTAGGAGGACCAGGCCTTCTCGGAGGAACCCATACTCACACCCATTCAGTCAGCACCATCAACCGAGCTGTTCCCATACCAGTACCTCAACCAATAGCAGTTCCAGTCGACCGTCCAGTACCAGTACCCCATCCGGTACCGGTACCTTACGACGTACCGCGTCCTGTACCTTATCCTGTTCCACAACCTTACCCAGTTACGATAACGAAAACGATACCTGTTGAAGTACCACGTCCAGTAGCGATACCAGTACCGCATGCAGTACCCGTATCTGTACCTCGACCTGTACCAATTTCGGTACCCCACCCAATAGCGGTACCTATATCGGTACCGCAACCCGTAGCTATTAAGGTACCAGCTCCATCGCTGGCTCTATCGAGTTTGGATCTAGGACACGGTGGTTTGGGATCAATAGGATTAAGTTCTAGCTATGTTGGATTAGGACATGGTATTGGTTTAGGAGGATATGGTGGTGGGTTAGGAGGACACGGTCTCGGATTGGGATTAAGTAAAGGGATTGTTTTAGGAAAGGGATGGTAGTTTTTTGTTGTATAATAGTTTGTTAGTGATTAGACCTGCTATTACTGTGTGTATTGTTGTAGTTTTTTTTAAATATACGATTTATTTTTCTGTTTTTGTTTTATTAATGTTACTTAAACCCTCAAAAGTAAGTATTGGGATATTCACTAATTTTATAGTAGTTGTTTGACATTTTTTCAATGATAAATCTAAATATGTTGTTTATTGTTGTCTAATGCTGTCTAGTAAATATTTTTTATTTTTTATTTATTCGTGACACAGACAGTACTAGCCCAAAAAAGTGTCCACCATATTATACAATAATATAGTACAAAATTATACAATAATCATATCATTTACAATAATACCTACTCAAAAATAAAGACTAAAAACTATCAACAGCAGAGATTACATATTAAATTAAGGTCATTGCGGGAACAATGAATCATTTTAATTTTGGTAAAAAATGCAGCTATAATTCTGAAAAGTATCAAAGCATATTGGTACAGGTGTTTTTTGATTGTATTGTCATATTGTCAATATTTGTCATTTTTTAAAAATTCTAAATTGATTCACTGGGTACACGGTGGGGGCAACAGTGATTCGCCATAGGTACACAGTGAATCTTGTTTTAAATAAGTCAAAATTTATAATACACCTTTTAAATAATTTTTTTTTTCGGTATTTTAGCTTATTTTTGTACGGTGGGAATACCTACTTCGACCAAAAAAGATTTGTCGAATCAATAATCACCCTGTAAGGTACAATATTTTAATTATAGTAGTTAAGTATGTATTTTGACTACACAGAATGAGCAAAAAACTTCCAAAAATATTTAAGGGTGATTTATGGTGTCCATTTTAAAGAACTAGGGATTTCTAACTTCAACACCCTGTATCTCAAAATTTAGTCATAGGATACGATTGGGCCCATGGACACTTTTGATGGGGACATCAAGTTATTTAACATATCAAATATTCAGACATTTTGACGGTACTCCCGTTTGCATAAGAAAAGTGCGTGGTCCTTTATAGAAATTCGTAAAAATTCGTAGAAATTCGTAAAAATTCGTAAAATTTCGTAAAATTTCGTAGAAATTCGTAAAAATTCATAAAAATTGATAAAAATTTACAGAAATTCGTAAAAAGGATGGATATTCATAGAAATTCGTAAGAATTCGTTGAAAGTCGCAGAAATTCGTAGAAACTCTAGGAAGTTCGTAAAAATTTGTAGAATTTCGTATTTTTCAAATTATTTTGGAGCAGTGTTAAATAATAATATTAATATAACGAATTTAATCGATCAGATAATTTTTTTACAAATAATTACTCAATAAATTTGAAAATTACAGCATTTTTAAATAAAGAATAAAGATACCTTTCAAATAATGTATCAAATTCAAAATATCGAGGTTTGACTACACTCGTAAAAATTACACCAGACACCTGAATTAAAACAGTTGCAAAAAACTCATGCTGGCTGATAATAATACAGTTAAAACAGAGATAAACATTTTTTTCCACTTGGCTGAGTTGAAAAATAAAGCAGTCCATACACTACGAACACGAAAAATAAATAAATTGTTGAAAAATCCGTAGAAAAACTTCATAGATTACAATGAATGAACAAATTACTCAAATAATAATAGCTAAAATAAAAGAGGGTAATGAAGAACTTAAAAATTCGATTCTGGCTAGTTAGACACGTTTACTGCTTAAAATTAAAGAATTAAACAGCAAAGTAACTTGTCTAGAAAAAGAAAATTCGCATTTAAAAAATAAATTAGAAGTACTGGAGAGAGAAGTAAAACAAAATAATATAGTAATATTTGGCCTAGACAAAAAACCCGAGGAAATAAACATCGAATTCATCTGCAGTGAACTTAGAAACAGATTAGCAATAAATCTGCAAGAATCGGATATCAACAATTATTACTGCCTTGGCAAACACAAAAATTGTCCGTTGAAAATACAATTCGTAACAAAATTAAAAAAAACAAACTATTCTAAGAAACACCAAAAAATTGGTTGGTAGCAAAATAGCCATCTCACAAGATTTAACCAATATACAACGTGAAGAAATCAAGATATTAAGGAAACACTTATCCGGTCAAAAATCTAAAGGAAATAACTGTTTTATTCGAGGAAACAGATTAATAATAGAAGGACAGGAATATACTATAAAAGAGCTAGAGGAAAATACATCAACAAAAGAAGATAACTCACCTGGCACTCCCATACAACAACAAATACTGGAACCTGTGATACAACTAGATCCAAGTGTAACATCTAAGAATAATACTCATAAACCAAGCACCAACAGATCAAATCCAGTAGCTCAACAAAACATTAAAGAAAAAGTACGAACCAATTCAACAAGCAATCAACCAAAGGAAAAATAAGTAAGAATATACGTAATCTCATTAGGTTTAAATTTCTGAACATTATATCTAAGTAATATAATTTAAGTATTCTCATTTAAAATTAACTTTAAAATCCATTTTGTAAATATAAAATTTAAAGCCACATAAAAATAAGTTAAATTCTATGGATCAATACATCTTAGACGTAAATCACAATTTAATTAAAACTGTAGAAACTAATTTAATTGCAGAATTGGACAGTTTGCATATGGAAGCCAAAAACAACAAATGTTTCAGTATTTTCAACCAAAATATTTGTAGCTTGAATAAAAACCTAGATGAACTAAAAATAATTTTGAGTCAACTAACACACGAACACCATTGTCTAGTACTTACAGAAACTTTCAATATTTCTGATATTTCCTTATTTCATATGAACGGATATAACTTATTATATAATGAGGGAGATATAAACAAGAATGATGGAGTAGTTGTGTATTTAAAAGATACATTCGATTTTTCACATAAAATATATACTATTGGCGATGTTAAAGCATTACAAGTAGAAATAACTCTAGGTAAATGTAACAATGTACTTATTACAGCTATTTATAGATCACCAACTACAAATACTGAAGAATTTGTAGACAGTCTAAGTAATTATCTACAACAGGATATTAAAATTGAAATGAAACAGCATATAAAGTATCTAGGTTTAATCATAGATTCACATATTCGGTGGAATGTTCATATAGATAACGTAACTAGAACACTTCGTATGTTGCTCTATAAATTTAAATATCTGAAAAATATATTAAATGCAACTTACCTTAGAATATTATACTTCGCACTAGTTGAATCTCGGCTGCAATATGGGATAATAGCTTGGGGTAGTGCTTGTAAAAGTCACATAAAAAAATTATTAACATTACAAAAAAAAATTTTAAAAATAATATACAATAAAAAAAATACTTATCCTTCCGATGCCCTCTTCAGAGAATCAAGAATCTTAGATGTGCGACAGTTATATGTTTCCAAACTTTTGAACTTTACTTATAAGAACAAAGAAATAATACAGACCATTACTCATAAATACCTAACTCGAAGAAAATTAAAAAAATCATGTAATTACTTACCAGGCTCGAAAAACTATTGGACAACGATCACATACATTTATGGCTTCAAAAATTTATAATTTTTTACCTGATGTATATAAACTATACTTTAAAAAAATTAATTCATCTAGCTTATTCAAGGATTTAATAAAATCATTTCTACTAAATACGAATAGAAATGCTTCACATATCTTATTAGATAATTAAAATATTTACCTAGGTATATACATATACAATACACAAAAATTATAAAGAAGCTCATACATCATTATTTGTTTCTATCTTGGCTCGTATATATAAGCAAAAGTTCATGTGCTGTTTTTATTCCTTTTATAAAGTTTGCAATTGTAAAATATTTTGTGATTTTAAAATATTTGTAATCCTAAAATAGTTTATAATCTCAAATTGACATATTTCGGAATTTTTTTATAAATATGCACAGTAATTCAGCTACTGAATTTATTCCATCTGGCTGTTACACACTGTATGTTACAATGTCATCTGCAAAGCTAATAATTTTACCGATAGTATTCTATAGAAATCATTTAAATGACTCCCAAACATCAACAGCTCCAATACTGTCCTTTGAGGCAAACCTCTCCACTAATTTCTACGAATTTCTACAAATGACTATCCGTAAAAATTCATAGAAATTCAAAAAAATTCGTAAAAATTATTACAAATATACAGAAATTTTTAGAAATTCGAAAAATTCGTAAAGATGCATAAAAATTCGTACCAATTTATAGAAATTCGCAGAAATTTTTAAAAATTCATAGAAATGTATGGATATTTATAGAAATTCGTGTTTTTCACATTATTTTCGAGCACCGTTAAATAATAATAATTATTATTATTAATGTAACGAATTTGATGATTTTTTTATAAACACACTGTATATTACAATGTCATCTGCAGGCTGATAATTTTACTGATAGTATACTGTAAAAATAAATCATTTAAATAGCTTGTCCCTTGAGGCACATTTTTCCACTAATTATACTTTTTTGATTTCTGTTAGCTAAATAACTTTTGAACAGCTTGTACGCGGTACCTGTATAAATATATAATTTGTAGGACGAGTTTTTTAACACAAAAATAACATTTTATTGCTGATTCTGCTCTTATGTCAATACACAATTTCTCAAAATTTTTAAACTTCTGCACAACATAATTGCGCATCTACCTGTATGTGTGAAGATTTTGAACAATGTATATGTAAGTTTCTATTTACTAGAGAATATCAACGATAGAAGCAATGAAAATTATAAATGTACTCTCATTTCCAATTCGGATACTTTCATCCAATCTTGACAAATTTGATAAATATACAGGGTGGTCCACCGGTAACGCCTCGGTCTGTATATCCAAAACTAAACTTTTTTTAAAAAAATCGCTTTTTACAGTGAGATGTATATCAGAAAAGGCAACAATTTAAAAAAAATCAATAATACAGGGTGCTCCAGGAAATTGGAATATATCAAAGTTAGGTTTTTTTAATTGGGACACCCTATATTTTATTGCATTTTTGAAATCTACAAAGAAAGTTAGTGTGACTTTGTTAAGGGGTTGTTATACCTAGAGTCTATCATTTTTGATATATTCATGGATTTTCAAAATTTTGGGGTGTTTAA